TGCCGTAGCAATTCCTAMAATGCWCTGCTCAARTCGATTGGAAACTCAAATGGGAAGTACATGGTATCACAGGGGTATACATYGGGAMATATTTGACAATTTGTATGATAATCAGACTCCGGTACTGAGAAATAGATCAATCATCACGTCGTATTTAATTAAAAAAAGAATAAATTAGGCATCACGGCTTACCATTGGCGTTAAAGGGACTGACTCCGTTTGGTCTAACTCTTCTTGCTCGTCTTCCTCCAACTCCTCCTGTTCCTCAGCATCCAAACTAGCATTCAACCTTTGAAACTAAATTCAACCTGATAATTGGAGCCCAAAGCCCAATTGGTGCCAAAGAGTGGTAAAATAATTCCCTCATCATCAAACGCAAATGCGTAAAGTACAAATGCGTGCTTGCAAAAAAATATCYATCCAACAGTCTCAAGCCAACWCGTCAAAACATKCTAAGACAAAATTATTAATGCAYTCCTGTTTTTTTTTAATCAGAACTTGTTTTGTGATTCATTCAGTGGTGTAGCCAATGCATTGCTCAAATCGACTGAAAATTCAAATATGCATACGAAACTAACCTTTGGTTCCGCATCGACTTTAGCCACTTTTGGCTGAAAGAATAAAACATACAACAGATAAAACTCCAGGTCGTCAGAGAGTATACAGGTGAAAGCAGGGAAGTATATCGCATCACAGGGGTATGCATTGGAAAACAAAATCAAAATTTTAATTTGGACACTCTTTGATTTGCATGATAATCACACTCTGGTACTCATAAATACATCAATCATCAAGTCGTGTAGTATTAGACAAGGAATATATTKAGCATTAAAGCTTACCACTGGCGCTAGGTCTCTTTCCGCATGGTACTGATCTTTCCCGCCATCATCTACAACCTAATGAGAGCCCAAAGAAGGTCAAACATTGCTTCCTGACTTGCTACTGGTCCAAAAAAACCATTAAGCTCAGTCCAATTGTTTGAYAATCCTGGAATCATAACCATGATTATACACAGATARTATATTCCACAAGAAGGTGTACCTTTCTCTTCCTCTTCTCCCTTTCATCTTCCTACGTGCCATAAAGTGTTAACAAAATTAGTTCTGATTACACAAAACCATCTTACTACAAATAWAAATGCAAAATACATTCAAATATATACTATACCTTCTTCTTCAACTGCACCACAGCAGTACTCAAGTCCGATGCAAACCTTTTCAATAATTTGTTCTCGTCCTCCAACTGATTTACTCTTTCTTCCAAGTTCTCCACCGCCCTTTCCAATTTCTGTACTTTTTTCCCCTGCTCTGTAGTAGACCTCTCGCTGGCTACCACCCTTGATCCAAACTCGTACATTCTTTCTTGGAGAGCCCCTCCACTTTTCTTACACTCTTCCTCTGTTCCTAAGAACATGTCTGAAACTAAAACAAATAACAAAAACATACATTAGTAAAAAATCATTAAGCAAATCAACAACCACATTACTCACCYTCTGTAGCTTCTTACTTTTATATAASCMAACAGTAACACAACGGTAAACTATACCTAGCTACAAAACACTAGTGCATTCCTGTGGTTAAGTCATTCAACTAGAACTAACCTGTGGCAAGTTCATTTGACTATAACTAATCTAACCAGGTTTAACATACCTTCCTCGATCACTCTTTCCACCTCCAACTATCAAAAATAATAAACAAAACGCCTTTATAAGTCATTATATTGCATATCAAACGAAGCATCCATAATACTAACTTCTAATTCTCCAATCCTCTTTTCAATCTGTGGGGAAAAATAGAAAAAAAACCCTAACACATTAGAAATAAGTTTAAAAATATTCAATAATAATTTCTTTAACGACAATCTAAAAAGCGAGCAGAGAGCAAAACGAAATGAAATATTTCAAACGTGAAATAAAAAGTCAGAAATAGCTATATTTGGGCTACCTTTACAATTATGGCATAATTGCGATTCTTTCTATTAATTGTCAAAACTGTTTTGTTAACACTAGTGAAGTGAAAGGACACATGTACACAAGTTTAAAAAATTAGAAATAATTACATAATTTTTATTACCAATATTTGTAAATATGAGATTCTCTTTGAAATAAAATTATTATTATATTTGTTATAAATAAAAAATAATAATAATTGGGCTGCCTGTGCTGGGTTTGATTACACATGCATATAATAATACACTTGCTTAGACTGATTTTGCATTTAGGCATAATTAACATAACACAAGAAAATTCATGTTCACCTTGTGAAAATTTGCAGAAAAGTCTATTGCAATCCAAAAATTAAAAAAAAAATCAGACAAACTTGAATTTTGCACAATTTATAACATTACTTGGATTTCAAAGCCTTACACAGCAATAATATTATTTGGAACATTCATTTTGGCATGTCTCTCTAAATTGTCAATTTAACTAGAACTCATATTGTACAGTATTGTAGTCGTTTAACTTGTTTACGTTTAGTGACACAAGGATCTGTTTACGGAAACAGTGAGAGTAAAGAACTAATAAGTACCAGGCCACAAACAAAAGCTTGATAGCAAACCCCTGTCACCCAACATTAAAGGATAGGGGGCCGGATACATTAGTATCCAGCTAAACTGAGAAATATTGTACACTTACTGTCTAAACACATGTATTGTCAAATTGTTTTAAACCTGTGAAAAATTTAGTTGGTCATCCAATTATAAATTCAGGGTTGCTTTTAATAAAGACAACTGTGGCTGGGTGTTATCATTAATGTTACATGTGCCACCCAATGCAAACCCTCTGGCAGTAAGTTTTATCGTTTGTTGTCTCAAGTTTTTATTTCACAGCTAAATTCTTTGAGCAAAAGTTTCTTTTTTTTCCAGGATTTATATTGGGTGGTATCATATAACAACACATTAGCCTATGTATACAAAACAGAGTTAAGGTTAGAATGAAAACAAATTCAAATTGTCATCATATAACAACACATTAGCCTATGTATACAAAACAGAGTTAAGGTTAGAATGAAAACAAATTCAAATTGTCAAGTTGTCTTAAACCTGCAAGACATTTAGATTGTCATCTAATTATAAATTCAGGGTTGCTTTTAATAAACACAACTGTGGCTGGGTGCTATCGTAAATGTTACCTGTACCACCCAATTATTTTTCAGGATTTACATTGGGTGGTATCAAATTGTCTTAAACCTGCAAGACATTTAGATTGTCATCTAATTATAAATTCAGGGTTGCTTTTAATAAACACAACTGTGGCTGGGTGCTATCGTAAATGTTACCTGTACCACCCAATTATTTTTCAGGATTTACATTGGGTGGTATCATATAACAACACATTAGCCTATAGGTAATAGGGTGACCGTGACCATGTTCATGGCACGCAACAACCAAACAACTTTGATTTAAAATTGGGAGATGGATATCATGAGTGGGTAGGATTTACATGTAATGGTATATGTTCATTTCTCCCTTTATACGARTATGACTTATACCTGAACTACTTTTGCTAGTCAAGGAGATATTACAAAAAAAGAGGTCATGTGACGTACCTGGAAAATCAAAGACAGTAAATATCGCCTTAATAAGCAAAAATAGTTCAGTTATTAAGGCAGATTCCCATACACCTCTTTGAAAGAAGGGAAAATATATAATATCCATCTCCCCGTGAAGAACCAGCTCAGTTGTCCTCTCTCCTACGCATGTTCCGTAGCTTTCAGACAATCTGAGCTGCCGTAAACTGCCCTTCATTCCAAATATCTGACTCTATCCCTTCATCAATGGCTTGTTGTGCCATTTCTTTCACAGGACGAAATTGAATATTTCAGTGACATGAAAGGTACCTGAATGGTTCCTGAAAGATGAATTTCAGCTACCTTTCGTGATACAACGAAATGTATGAAAGTTACATTTCGAGGTCTTTCGTGGTGGTTATGAAAGGTTACGAATGAAACATTTCGTGTATATTTAATTTGTTACTTGAAATGCTTACAAAATGCTGATTTCATAATCTTTCCTTATGTACCAAAAGTTCTGTTCTAAGTTTCATGTATATTTCATTAGTCTTTCATGATTAACTCATCCTGAAAGGTTGTAGTGAGCATTTCATTTCCTTTATTGTCAAAAAGGATAAGAAATTTGCAAGAAATGCAAGTTTCATCTGTATTTCAATGTCTTGCATGTGACAAATGCCCCGAAAGATTKTTGTAAAAGACCAGCATATTAAATAATCGTTAATAAATTATTAGCTACAAWGAATCCAAAATTAAATTTCCCCAACATAAGGAAACACATTTAAATTTAAAATGATTTAATTCTAATTACACATACAAATAACTCATACAATTCGATCATATATATTTATCAAAGAGATTGTATAATATATGTATTCATAATTTATTCTTACTTACATTTACAATACAGTGGCCTGCCATTGAATAGTGTCTTAACTTATTGCAGGTCACTGGATAACCTTGTAATTATATTAATGAAAATGATAATAAAGTGTTTAAAGTGTATATATGTGACTGCTAAATATGTTAATTCATTCAACTGTGCACAGCCACTTTGTCTTACTTCTTATTCAAAAAGTAAGAATAAGAAATCCAGAGAAAACGTGATCTTTTTGGTTACATACAATATTGGTAGTCATACRTGTACTTATTACTAATTTCAATTTAGTTAAAACTACTTAAGAATGCCTAATTCATTTAAATACAGTTACATATTTAAATATTGTTAGAATACAATTTAAATCATTTCTATTCAATAATTTTATATTTTTGGAGATCAAAAATTCATCACCATCACCACCATCTTATTCATTTTTYATTTTCCAACAATAAAATATATCAATTAAAAGAAAGTACATCAATTTGTAAAAAATAGTATTAAAGGTGGTCAGTCTGCATGCAAAGCCCATTCAGGCAAAGCATCTGGAGCTGGCCTTTCTGAAGGGACAGCAGAGTCAGTCCTTGTTAAAATTTTTTCTTTGGCCCGCTTTGTCAGGGTAGCAATGTAGCAATGTAGCAATTGGCAGCACCAATTTTTTTTTTCAATTTTTTAACCTTTGGACTTTCCAGTGCCAATCTTTTGACTGTGTAACCTATTGTCTTGCCRCTGTCATCATAATCTGATTCCTCGCTGCTCATGCAGTCTGGAATCAGGATCTCTGCTGCCTTTCCCCTTTTGTTTACATCCCAGTCAATAACTTTCTCCAAGTCAATCGTCCTTCTTGTGAGTTTCTAAATAATTCAAAAGAATAATGTCATCAAAGTATGTTCTGTCGAAGAGTTGTATGACTCATGATTGTTAGCATAAGCAGTAAGATATTGAACATTTGTTGTTAATTTTTACCTCTCTTTTTCTTCCATTTTTTCTTGATCTCCTTTTGTGCAAGTCATATTTATACCACCA